CTGGGTCGGATGGGTGGTCCGCGGCCAAAAAGCTGGGCTCGCATTGGGCTCCCTTCCTTTCTGGGATCCTGGGTCGGATGAGGTGTAACGAGGCACGTTTCCCCGCGCAGGACGGATCACTACTCGTCACCACCCTCGACGCGTTGACAGGTCGCTTGGACCAGCCGAGACCGCGAGATCGGGCACCCGCTCGAGTGGTGGCGCCTCCCGCCTAATCAGGTGCACCAGAACGGTTCAGATACAGTCCGGTGGTGCAGCGAGCTGTCAGTGTACCAAGGGCATCACACCGTCGCCGCAAAGCTTGCGTTCATGCAGGTTCTTGCAACGAGGCTACGCATCTTGGACGAAGTCTTTCCTGTGAAGTCCTGTCAGCATGCAGCCAATGATAGTGCAGCGGTCCATCCTTTTCCGCTGCCACGTAGGAATCTAAGGGATGTAGGAAAAGAGCGGCTTTCGTCTTGCTGTGCTGCACCTTCCCGGTCAGCAATTTTCGACTGGGCCGGGTCGAAGCGGTTGCAACCGGCGCCAGGGCAATGTTTTCGGGCTGCATCCGGCAGCCGACCACCACCGCCTAGCTTCGTTAAAACTGTTCGTTAAGTTGATGTCGTATCGACCTGAGGACAGTGCATGGTGTGGGCCAGCGCACCGTCGCGTGCCATGGATGAGGAAGCTGCAGTGGACAATCTGCGCTCCATGTGAGCATGACTCTGTGCAGCAGTCAAAACATGTATCTGGAGTACAAAAGCGAAACAACTCAGATGCCTGGAAGCGATGGATGCTCGGATGGCGAGAAGAAGATGTTAGTCTCAAAGCATCACGGCTGACAGCCACGATAGGCGCGCTTGATTGAAGCGACTCATGTGTAGATGGCACGTCTCTGGAGGACATGGGCATCATGCATTGGCACAGATGCTCCACGAAGGGACAAGTCTAAGGCAGGCTTCCGCTGTTGCCGGCGTCACGTCACATGGTTCGTCTCTGCTTCTGTTTTTGGTCGTCGCCACTCTCTGGATGCAGCCACTCTAGACATGGACACAAGGTGATGTTTCCGTATACTGCCGCCGTGGCTTTGCCCTTGTTCTGCTTGTCGAGTCTACTTTGCGGCGGCTTTGCCCCTTGCGTACTTGTTATATCTATTCTTTGCCGAGGACGGCGAGATTGCGATGCTGTGCTTCGGCATGCACCCTGTGCCAAACCCGATGTACTGCACGAGAAAATCTAGAATCTAGAACCAAAGCCTCAAAATGAACCGCAAACATTCAAACTCTATACATAGCAAAGGAGAGTATAAAACAGAGATAAAGAAACGGAGACGGAGCGAGAGGCCAAACAAGAAGGAGAAACGGAGAGGAAGAGCAAATAAGCGGAGGCGTGTGGCTTTTTCGTCGCTTTCAAACCTCACTCCAGAGGAACTTTCAGCAGGGTGCCAAATTCTGCAGCCCAGCTCACTGAAATTCTGGCATGCACCTGCAGGACTGGAAGTTGTCAAGCTATCAGTAGCTGTGCTTTGCACATCTCGTTGGGGGGCTTACCCTTCCCTGACGCGTCAAGAACTGAGCTGGTGCGGCCGCATAGCGCGGAGCCTTGAATTGGCATGTAGCCGGGCTCGGATTTAAGCGCAGCGTCACAGGGCACAAGATGGCACGAGGACCGGGCCACGTAAATCCCGTTGTGCCTGCAGCGCAAAGTCTCAAAGTCTTTTCCTGCGGCCATTGGCCGAGAGAACGAGCTTCTGATCTTCTGGGAGCCAGCAGGGAGACATACAGAGCCCGGAGAATGTCAGAAGTTGCTTGGCAAGCCGTTTCGGTTGCTTAGTCTTGCTTACATTGTTTGTGAACGGTTTAAAACGTCACGAGCTGTCTCACAATGTCTTGACAAATACCTTCTGGCTCTCCTCCTAAAGTCTTCCAGCGCCGTGACGCAGGCTTTCACAGAGTTCAAGATTCAGGCTACGTTGCACGGTTGTTGCGCATGGGCATGGTTTGACAGAAGAGCAAGCACGGACAACTTCCAGGGAAGTCACAAAGGCATTCATTCGGAGAAGTCCTGTCTAAGTGAACTTCTTGCACTACCAGCGCATCTTTACAGCTATCGTGCCACCAGGTACGCATCATACTGTGTTGGGAGCCCTCCGGGCCGAACAGGATCAAGTCGCGTGCAAGTGTAAGTGCGTGTGTGTGTGTGTCTGTGTGTGTGTGAGTGTGCAGCGACAGTACAATACAATGGCTTGCTTGCCACCACAGTGCCACAGAAACAAAACCGATGCGCCAGTCAATCTTCAGCCGGGGCGGCCATGTTCCAGGATGGATGTAGATACCTTTCCCTTGAGGCACATGGAAAGCTCGCATGTCCTGCAGACTCTTAAATGCCACGACTTCATACCGGCAGGGATGGCGAGATCCGTCGTCCTCCGGTTTGATGTCGTCTCCGGTCGATGCTGGGCCGAGACACACCGTGAATGGCACTGGTGTTCGTGGCCAAAACAGCTGACCACCTAGGCTGAACAGTCGCAAGATGTATGCGACCAGCTGAGAAGGCTGTAAGTCCATTGAAGCTCCAGGCCATCTGGGTGGTAGTCACTCATCCACAAGTATATGCAGCCTTGGATGTTTTTTTATCATTCACGCAAACGCTGACGTCGCCGACGGCACAATCGATTCATTGAGAGGCTGGCTTGCGTCTGCTGGCTTGTCTGCCACTGCGTGCTCGGGCCTCTGCATTTCGGCCACAGACTTAGCACATTGGTCAAACATGGCAAGAGCAAACAGGACCACATGGGCAGGCCGGTCTCTGCTGTCTGCTGACTGTGTACGGGCAACCCTGCTTTTTTTTGCCTGTGCGTGGCTTTCAATCCCGGCCTGAGCCTAAGAGGTTTGCTTTTGGTATGTTGCCCTCGTCGTTGCATGCTCGTGGAATATGCAATACGGTCCTGCAGGCGACCCGCATGTCGTGCTGAACTATGACCCCCACGCCTGGCGGGTCTCTGGAAATAAGGACGCACTGTTAAAGAAGCAGACAACGAAACAGGAAAGGTAGAACAAAACCAAAGGGCACCTACCCACCCGCACCCACATCCACATACCCACACAACATTTCGTCCCCCGGCCAGAAACCACTTTTGTACTTGGAGTTTCGGGGACCTTATCATAGCCCAGCGCAGCTGGGATCGGCACTTCGCAAACAGAAAAACATCTTCGTTGGCACTATGCCTCTGGATGCCCCACAGGCGAAGTGAAGATTCCAACCGAGTTCTACTGCGACTTCTTTACTTTTTTCCCAAGGATGCCCCCCCCACACGCAGTGCTGCGCTGTCAGAAGTCCTTCCCCCCGATGACCTAAATCTGCATCCACTGACCAAAACACTTGCAAACGAGAACTCTGACAAACTCACAAGAATCAGATTTCGTGACTGCTAGCAAACATACAAACGTTTGACTAAGCCTCGCTCAAAGCACCCAGGCCATCCAGGTACTTGTTGTTGGTTGTTGCAATGGCCAGATTCTGGCCATAGAAATAATCACCCTGCCAATTGAGCGCAGGAATGTGCAGGAGAGAACGTGACTTCAGGCTGTCATGCACATTGGCAAAAAGGTGGCGTGACCAGGAGGCGAAGCCCACACGAACGACACGTTGAGCATAGTATGTCCGATAGCCTACAAATACCAACTGCTCGACCACCTTCCACTTCACCTCGAAGTCGCCTTCCGTTGTTCCTGCCTTGTGTGGGATTCGGATGGTTCTGGGGGATGCATGGTCCATGTCGAAAGCACGCAACATCTCGCCTCATCCCCGGTACCAGGATCCAAAGGGCGCCAGCCCGGTTGAGGCCACTGGGTGATCTCAAAAGTTTTTGCCTCCACTGTGAAATCCTGCAAACTTCAAGACTCTGCGACACTTCAAAAGCGTTCAGATCGAATGTCCTCCGGTCGATGAACCAACCTGCTCAGAGATGTGCCAAAGATAGGCTCTGATTACTGTCACTCCCGATCGGCCTGCCCAAACCTGCGAGGGACGCATCTGTAGCAATCTCCCGGGAAATCTCCCGAATGCGAAGACCTCTGCAGCGCGGCTCCCAGCTTCCATTTGACTTCAATGTCTCGGCCTGCTGGCAAAGTAGGACGTTGAAAGTTCTCCGAGTTGAAAACAAATGATGGCTCGACAGCCTTAAAGCTCAGATGCTTCAAACCGCAGCAAACACAGACTTGCTCGGCGATGAGAGGTTGACCTCACGGCTCTGTGCAGCCACCTCTGTGCGAGCCGTTGGTCGCTCTGAATTCCGAGGGCTTGCTGTACATCCTCTGAGAACAGCACGCTGGCCGCACGACGCACGAGTCTTCGAGCTTGTCTCATGTCTGAGGGTGTTGCCGGACAAAGTCCTGTGCACTGTCTTCTTGCTGCCGCTGAACCCTTGTACGCGGCTTTACTGCATGACGAACGCTTCTGCCTGTGCCAAGGTCCTGCTTCTAGTTATAGGTCGGACCATCCTGTTTTGGAAATGTCACGGGTGTCTACTCGGTGTCTCGTGTCTGTTTTGCTTTTCTGTCGAGCCTGGAACGCTGGAATGCACAGCAAGTCACCGATGCCTCTCGACATCTTTTTTCGCTTCGCAACAGAAAGCATGAACCGGCATGAACCGGCAACGTCTACCAGATTTTGTCACCACTCCGAAACATGCATAGAATCGAGCTTCGGCAGCAGGATCCTAACGACTCATGACTGGCTTGCATGCTGGCTGTCACTGCAAACGGAGTGTAATCGCTCAGGATCGGAACCGTGCAACACGCAGTTGCCTCTGCATGCAAATCGGGAGGAGTCGGTCCAGCTGCTATGTACAGAAGTTAAGCAGGCTTCTCGCAGACTCAAGAAGCCACGCATAAGGGTGCGATAGGGTCGAGATGCCCATCTCTGCGAGAATCACCCCTACAGAAGTCATTTACGTGGCACAGCTGGAGTTGGCGACGTCATGCTTTGACCTGACTCTAGCATTCTCTTGCCAACCTCCGCCTGCACGTGCTACCAACCTCTGCACCTGATCTGCAGCCCGGGAAATGCAGAGGGGGTGGAGAGCGGTCATTAACAAGCGAGAGGTCTGAAAGCTGTCGCGAGTTCGACATAATGGTGTGCATAATCAAGCATGCAGCAAGCTTCTCACCAAAGACCCCCGAGTCTCTTGGAAAGTGACGTCTGGCAAGGACTGCAAGGTAGTGAGCTGCTCTGCCGGGCGGAGATCCACTTCCAGGTAGGAAACATTGGCCTGAGCTCGATGCAGATGGAGCGAAGCAAGCCGTCGGAAGCTGAAGCCGAGAAGCGTCGCCGGCCATGACGGCCTGTCACTCGATTGTTCTGCCCCCNNCCCCCCCCCCCCCCCCCCCCTCCAGAGACCCCCCCAAATGCACAGAATCTGTTGAAGCATGCTGGGTTGTGGCTCGGGGAGGGCTATTGGGCGGTATCTCTCGTAGAGTTGGGGACAGCGGAAGCCAAACGAAAGCCAGTAGTAATGGACGGCGAGTCCGAAGCTGCAATGAGCATGATTCCGAAGCTTCTGGCATCCTCAATCTAGGCCCTTTACTGCTCAACAGGTCTTCGCTGCCCTCGATAGCGCCCCGTCAAATTCTCGTTGGGCTCACCCCCCCCGAAACCAACTCGCATCCGTAAAACCCATGCTTTATTGAGCTTCGCTAGCGGGCTTGCTTTTTTGTTGAGGGCGGGTCTAGGCAGCCTTATGAATTGTAAATGCTTCCTTCAACGGGCGACACTTGCAGAGAGCTGTTTGCTTCACGTCATGTGCCCTTGGCCAACTGCCTGCTGTGAAGATGCATTGTGTCAATAATCTCAACCCTGGAGTATGTGTTTGTGTGAGTGTGTGCGCGCGTGTGTGGCTGCCGACCTTTAAATGCCATATGCTCCGTTCCAACGGTGGGGCCCAGGGCAGGTGCATACTCACGAACTCACTGAAACCCAAGCCTCTACCGAGTCCACCTGCTTCGCAGCCAGGTCTGCAAGAATCTGGCAGTCCGGTGCGAGAGCGTGATAGTAATACGACGGTTGGGTGGCCAGCAGCTCAAAGCCGAGATACCGCATGCAGCGCCCGCATCGAGTCCACCGGGACACGGCTCCCGATATACCTACCAAGCAAAATGTGCAGCTGGAAGTCAGATGTCATCATGACGGCCTGACATGTTGAACACAAAGACCGACAGTTTTGCTCAGCACGGCAGGAGAGACCTGTCGCAGGCTACGCTGCTTTTCTTCTTTGTGTCGGACGCAGGCAGAGCATTGAGCGCTCCTGGCCAGCACCCTTTGCGAAGAGCCGTGCCACCTGATAAAAAGACACGGCAACACAAGGCCCAACATGAGACTCTTGAGTGTTCTGCTTCAGGCTGCCGTTGCTTCAGAGAGCAAGGCAGAGAGAAAGTTCTCAGATTGCCAAGCCTCGTTCAAGATATCCACAAACAGCCCCACGTCGGATGGATCTGAATGTATGGCTCCTGAGTTACATAGCAGCAGGCGGTTTGCCAAGGAAGGCACACGAGCTTTGCTCAAAATGGGTATTCAGGCGCGTTCTGTCGGCACTTTGCAAAGCCCTTCTCAAGCAAAGTAGTCCATTGTCAGGATCCTGTGGGCGGGGATGATGTCAGGATGTCAGGGACAATCGGGTGCACCGCTTGAAGCATTGCGTTCTCGCTCCGCGGCCTGGAGCTCGGGCTGCGGCAGCCAAAACCTCACATGACACCAGCGGCCCACATGCAGCATTCTGTATCGTCATTTCTCTACTATCCAAGGTCTTATTGTGGCATGCTGGCAAGTGCCGGCAAGCAACAGCTCACAGCAAAGACAAAACGCCTTGCTCTGGAATCGCTTCGAAAGCCTGCAGCTGATGCTTGTAGGAAAGTCTTTCATGCGAAACCGCGAAGCCAATCTTCGAGCACTGGAGCTTGCATTAGGCTTGGCCGGCAACGGATCAACACGCTGACGTTGGAGGAACGACAGAATCGCATGCTAGGTCGAACAGCAGTCGCCGTCGTCGTCGTGGTTCTTGTGGTAGTGGTGGTCATCGTGGTGAAGTAGTAGAAGGAGTAGCAGTAGTAG